TGGTCTTTACCTCCCCTTGTTCTCTACAAACTTGGTGAGTGGTGCTGACCTGCAGGATACGGGGGTTCACCAGTTCACTCCTGCGAGTCAGCGGGTGACCCACTGCACGGACGCTCGGACAGGCCGACACCTGGCCACGTTTACACGTCGGCCGGGGTCGAGCCTGTACACACTGACCACTGAGTCTCCTCCAGTCACTGCGTCTGGTCAGGTAGCTGCGTCGGGTCAGGTGTTTGCTGCAGCGTCCAGGTCTGGTCCTTAGTCTGCCCCCTGCTTGTGTCGCCTCCTGTCTCACGAGACTCTCCTCTGGCACCACCGTCTTGGTCACCCCTCCCTCCCTCGTCTCCGAGGCATGGCTTCCCGTGTCCTTGTCTCTGGTCTTCCCTGGTCCCTCCCTTCCCTTCCTCCGGGGCCTGGTCCTTCTTGTGTCCCCTGTGTCGAGGGGCGGCTCCGAGCTGCCCCTCACTCCTCTCAGTTTCCCCCGACAAAGGCCCCGCTGCAGACGCTTCACATGGACGTGTGGGGCCCGGCCCGCGTCCGTGGACAGGGTCACGAGCGCTACTTCCTGCTGGTGGTTGACGACTACTCGCGTTACACCACAGTCTTCCCCTTGCGCAGCAAGGGTGATGTCACTGAGGTGTTGATCGATTGGATCCGCGCAGCTCGTCTCCAGCTCAGGAGGAGCTTCGGCTCAGACTTTCCTGTTCTGCGTCTGCACTCTGACCGAGGCGGAGAGTTCTCCTCTGGCCTTCTGCGATCCTACTGTCGTGCGCGAGGCATTTGCCAGACCTTAACGCTTCCGGACTCTCCACAGCAAAATGGGATTGCTGAGCGCCGCATTGGCATGGTCATGGACGTCGCTCGTACGTCCATGATGCATGCGGGTGCCCCCCATTTTCTGTGGCCGTTTGCGGTTCAGTACGCGGCGCATCAGATCAACCTTCACCTCAGGGTCTCCAGACCGGAGACCTCCCCAGCCTTGCTGTGGACGGGGAAGGTCGGCGATGCGTCTGCGTTCCGTGTCTGGGGATCTCGGGCGTTTGTCCGCGACTTGTCTGCGGACAAGCTGTCCCCTCGTGCTGCTCCCTGTGTCTTCCTTGGCCTCCCCCCTGACGCCCCTGGGTGGCAGATCTACCACCCCTCCTCTCGTCGTGTTCTGTCCTCCCAGGACGTCACGTTCGACGAGTCAGTACCCTACTACCGCCTCTTCCCCTACCGCACTCCTTCCCTCCCCCTGCCACCGCACTTCCTTGTGCAAGGTCCCCCCCCGGTAGACCCCCTCCCCCCTCAGGGTCCTGCCCCTTCAGGTGTGTCCCAGGTAGATGCAGTTGAGCCGGTCGAGGTTGCTGGTGACTCTGGTACTGCTGCGGGTGCTAAGCCAGGGGGTGCTGACTCTGGGGGTGCTGCGCGCGTGGGTGCTGAGCCTGGGGGTGCTGCGTCTGGGGATGCTGCGACTCGGGGTGCTGAGCCTGGGGGTGCTGAGCTTGGGGGTGCTACGACTTGGGGTGCTGAGCCTGGGGGTGCTACGACTTGGGGTGCTGAGCCTGGGGGTCCTTCGCCTGGGGGTGCTGCGTCTGGAGCTGCTATGCGTGGGGGTGCTGAGTCTGGAGCTACTGAGCCTGGGGGTGCGGAGCCCGCGGCCGCTGGACCTGCTCGGGTGGCGTCTGGCGGTGCTGGGCCTGCTGGTTCTCCGGGTGCTTCGTCTCGGCGGGAGCCACTCTCTCCACAGGAGCTGCGCGAGTGGTTTGCCCGGCGCTGGAGGCGTACTACTGGAGCTGGTGCTTCTTCGGCTGCTGAGGGTGCTGGTGCCGCCGGTCTCGGAGGTGCTAGTCCTGCGAGTGCTACAGGAGTCGGAGCTGCTGAGGGTGTTGGCGCTGAGGCTACTGCTGTCAGTCCTGGCGACGGTCCTACTGCGGGTGCAACTGGTGCTGCTGGAGGTACTGGAGCTGGAGGTGCTGTTGACGCTGGTGCTGCTGCTGGGGGTGCTGGTGCTGTCCCTGCTGTGTCTGGAGTCGCCGCGCGGCCTCGGCCGTACTTTGTTCCGCTCCTTCAGCAGGTTCTTGGTCTTCCTCCTCCCTTAGAGTGTCCACCGCCTGTCCAGTCGCAGTCACAGTTACCACCGGTCTCCCCACTGCCTTCTCCTTCTCCGTACACTGGTCCTACTGGAGGTCTTGCTTAGCGTCGTGAGCCTGCGTCTCGTCCTGCGTCGCCTGTTCGTGCTGCTTGCACTTGTGGTCGCAGTTCACGTCAGCGTCCTCCTCCTGTCCCTGGCACGCACCGGATGTCTCTGCGTCCCTCCACTGCTCCTCTGCGTGCCCCTTTGCCCTCTCCTCCTAAGTCCTCTCTTCCTGTGCTTGCCGACCCTGAGTCGGACTCTCTTCGTGCTGCCAGTCCTACTGTCACGCGTCTCCTTGCTACTGTCGTCACTGACCCTTCCTTTGAGTCCACTGCTGCGTCTGCTCTTGTTGCTGAGCTCGTCGACTTTGCTACTCGCTGTCGTCTAGACTACGCTGCTAGTCTTGTTGCTGAGTCTGCGTCTGTCTGTCCTCCGTCCGTCGGGGGTGAGTGTGCTCTTGGCACGGACGTCCTTGAGGACAGGCAGGAGGAGTTCCAGTGTCTGGCTGCTGCTTCACCTCATCTCGCGTCCGTACTGCTTACCCATGAGGGAGACCCGGATGCACTAGACATCCCGACTCCGCGCTCTTACGCAGAGGCCGTAGAGGGTCCCTACTCCTCTCAGTGGCAGGCAGCTATGGATGCAGAGATAGCTTCCTGGAAGTCCACAGGCACCTACGTTGACACGATTCCCCCTCCTAGGGCGAACATCGTCAGTGGCATGTGGATCTTCAGGGTGAAGCGGCCGCCGGGCTCTCCACCTGTCTTCAAGGCGCGGTACGAGGCTCGTGGCTTCAGTCAGCGGCAGGGAGTTGACTACTTTCAGACCTTCTCTCCCACCCCGAAGATGACCACTCTTCGGGTGCTGCTACACGTAGCTGCTCAGCGTGACTACGAGCTTCACTCCCTTGACTTCAGCACTGCTTTCGTGCAGGGTAGCCTGCACGAGGAGATCTGGTTGCGCCGTCCACCTGGCTTCACTGGGAATTTCCCTCCTGGCACCCAGTGGAGCCTCCGACGGCCAGTCTACGGTCTCTGCCAGGCACCGGGCGAGTGGCACGACACACTGAGGACTACACTTGCGGCTCTTGGGTTTGCTCCCTCTACTGCTGACCCGTCGCTGTTTCTACGCACCGACACCTCTCTGCCGCCGTTCTACATCCTCGTGTACGTCGACGACTTGGTCTTTGCCACAGCTGACACTGCTGGACTCGCCCACGTGAAGTCCGAGCTGCAGAAGAGACACACATGCACAGACCAGGGTGAACTGCGCAGCTACCTTGGCTTGCAGATCACCCGGGACAGAGCACGCCGCACCATTACCTTGACTCAATCACACATGGTGCAGCAGGTCCTTCAGCGCTTTGGCTTCACGTACTCCTCGCCTCAGGCCACTCCTCTGTCTACTCGCCACTCGCTCTCAGCTCTGCCTTCGGATGAGTCTGTAGAGTCGAGTGGCCCGTACCCAGAGCTTGTTGGCTGCCTCATGTACCTGATGACCTGCACACGACCTGACCTTGCATACCCTCTTAGCATTCTTGCACGCTATGTTGCTCCTGGGAGACACAGACCAGAGCACATGGCTGCAGCGAAGAGGGTGTTGCGCTACTTGTGCAGTACGTCGGGCATGGGGCTAGTGCTTGGAGGGCGGAGTCCAGTGGTCCTCACTAGGCACGCGGACGCTTCTTGGGCAGACGACCAGGCTACGCAGCGGTCGTCACAGGGTTACACCTTCAGCCTTGGTTCCGGCTCTGTTTCGTGGCGGGCTACCCGCTCGTCTTCTGTTCTCGGCTCCAGTTGTGAGGCTGAGATCTACGCCGGGGCCATGGCTGCACAGGAGCTTCGCTGGCTTACCTACATGCTGACTGACCTCGGAGAGTGGCCTCGTTCTCCTCCGGTGCTATACGTAGACAACAAGGCCATGCTAGCCTTGTGTCGGGAGCAGCGCGTGGAGCACAGAACGAAGCACATTGCTCTCCGCTACTTTCTTGCTCGTGAGTTGCAGCAGCGTGGTCAGTTGCGACTTGCGTACGTGGCCTCTGAGGCCAACACTGTTGATGTTTTCACCAAGGCACTTCCGCCTTGTGATCATCAGCGCTTCTGCACTCAGCTGGGTCTTGTGCCTGTCTTGCCTCACTTGCTCACCCCTTGACCTTGCTTGTACTCTTACATATATATATACCTGCTCTTGCTTGTTTAGCCTTATATATATATGTGTACTCCTGCATGTGAACTGGCCTTGTGGCCTTGACCTTGTGCTCAGACTGTGTGGTGACGTTGTGATCCACCCTGAGCTTTGTCTGCTTTGCCTGACTGGTCTTGTGACCCCTTGTTCTCCCCCACTTTGCCTATGGGGGTGTGTCAAATTATAATATTGTGTAGGCTATAGTGGGGTAGCCCATATGGGGTACACATTTCTAGGGTTGCATATTTGTATCACTTCCATTCCTTAGTCATTCATTCTCGTTCACATCTTTTCTCACGGCGCGCTGTCGCCCCTCGACGCAGGGGACGCAGGTAAGGCCAGGCCCCGGAGGAAGGGGAGGGAAAGACCTAGGAAGACCAGAGACAAGGACACGGGAGGCCATGCCTCGGAGACGAGGCAAGGAAGGGTGACCAAGGCGGTGGTGCCAAAGGAGAGTCTGGTGGGACAGCAGACGACACGAGCAGGGGGCAGACTGAGGACCAGACCTGGACGCCGTAGCAAACACCTGACTAGACGCAGCTACCTGGGCAGACTCAGCAGCAGGAGGAGACGCAGTAGTAAGGGTGTACAGGCTCGATCCTGGCGGACGGGTGAACGTGGCCAAGTGTCGACCTGTCCGACCACACGTGCAGTGGGTCAGTCGCTGACTCGCAGGAGTGAACTGGTCAACCCCTCGATCCTATAGGTCCGCTCCACTCACCAAGTTTGTAGAGAACGAGGGGAGGTACAGACCAGACAGGGTGCCAGAGGGGGCTGCAGGGCACGGAAGGACAGTGGAGAAGCTAGCAAGGACAGGACCCCCAGAGGGGTCTACCAGGGAGACTGCAACCGGCCGACTAAGCGGCGTAAGAGTGGTACGGTCTCTAAAGAAGGAGCGGGACGCACCTGAGTCCAGGGTGAAGGTGTGGAGGGCCTGAGCCGAAGCAGTACCTGAGAGAGCAGACTCACCAGCACCTGGGGCTGCAGACGCACTAGCACCAAGAGCAGCAGTCTCACCAGCACCTAGCGCAGCAGCCTCAATGCCTGGGTCATGCGGTACACACAGGTAACAGGCACCCTCAACACTAAAAGCAACAGCATACATGGCAGCAAGAATAGCATCAAAGTCAAGATCAAAGATAGCAACCCCGGCCTTGGCCAGATCTCCCCAGCGAGGGATCTCTGACGCCTCAGGGAACTGGCGACGCCACGCGTACGTTAGGCGACCAAAGCAGCACTGGGTGGAGTGCGGACCTCCGCACTGCTCACCGGTGCGGTCGCCGGTGCGGAGAACGTAGGAGCAGGGACCAAAACCCCCACCTCGCTGGCGTGCAGTGTACCACTCACGAAGCTGCTGAGGGGACATGGTCACACCACTCCGCTGCTGCTGCTGGCGCTGACCACCACTGGAGCCACTCCTCGGTGCAGAGTCGCGACTCGCACCACCACCGCCACCGCCGCCTCCGCCGCCGCCTCCGTCGCCTCCGCCGCCTCCGCCGCCTCCTCCACCTCCGCCTCCTCCACTACCTCCGCCGCCTCCGCTCCCTCCGCCACCTCCACCGCCTCCACCACCTCCACTGCCGCCGCCGCCGCCACCACCCCCGGCACCACTCCCACCACCACCCCCACTCCCTCCAGCGCCTCCACCACCACCTCCACCGCCCCCTCCACCCCCTCCAGAGCCCTTGCCCCCCTTGCCCTTGCCGGTGCGGCGTCTCCCACTTGGAGCAGACTCAGCGCCGACCGACTCAAAACCAACGAGGTCGGCCGCAGTAGCAGAGGCGACAGAGGGCAAGAGGGGGGAGGGAGAACACCCCTCAAAGATGGGGGTGCGAGGGTCACCACGAGAGGCTCCTACAGCGACTATGCTCTTCTCTATCGCTAGGAGGGCCTTCTCGAGGAGGTCAACGGTGAGAGTGGTGGGGCAAACAGAGAGGAAGTGGTCCCTGACTACGCGAAGAGAGTCAGGGAGCCGGGTGACTATGTAGTAGAGGGTGATGTACATGGGGGGGGGGTTCTTGGCGCAGAACTCAGCAGGAAGCGCGGCGCGGTAGCGAGTGTCAAGAGTGCGGAGGTGCGTAATGAGGTCAGCGACTGTGGGAAAGGCAGCAAGGTCAAGGAAGAGGAATGGTAGCATGAGGCGGCTCAGTGCAGCAGTGGCAGGGGAAGAGTAGCGTGCAACTACAACGTCGTACAAGGTCTGAGCACTCTTGTACTGGCTAGAGTGCGCACGCTCAGTGGTCGGTAAGTGGCGGCAAACAGCAAGGCGAGCAGCAGCATCACGTGTGGCCCACTGTGAGCGAACAGTGGCGTCAGCAGTAGCAGGCGGGGCAGGGGAGGCACCAGAAGTGAGGTCAAACAGGGAGAGGCCGTCTGCCCTATCGCACTGCAGAAAAAGCTGCAGATCATCTACCCAGACCTCAAAGTCCACAGCCCGACCCTCAGCGTCAAAGGTGAGAACGCTAGGGGAAGCCATAACAGTAGTAGGCAGGCAGGGAGTGCAGTGAGGCAGGGCAGTGCAGTGGCAGAGACTGGGCTCTTACCAGGCAGGTGGGGCGATCGGGCTGCTCGACGGCTCGGCTGCAGGGCGGCTCGGCTGCACGGTGCTGGGCAGCTCGGCTGCTGGGCGGCTCGCCTGGACGGTGCTGGGCGGCTCGGGTGTCGGGCGGCTCGGCTGTCGGGTGGCTCGGCCGCCTGGCGGCTTGGTTGCCGGGCGGCTTGGGTGCTGGGCGGCTTGGCTGCCTTGCGGCTCGATTGCTGGATCAATCGGCCGCGGTGGCGACGGGACCGGGCCGTAGCAGGGGCCTTAGTGGGGCCGCAGTGGGGCCAAAGTGGGGCTGACGGGGCCTTAGCGGGGCCGTAGCGGGGCCGACTGGGCCGTAGCTGGGCTCTATCGGGGCCGCAACGGGGCCGACGGGGCGGTAGCGGGGCTGTAGCGGGGCCGCAACGGGGCCTAAGAGGGGCCGACGGGGCCGAAGTGGGGCCGTAGCGGGGCCGACAGGGTCGAAGGGGCCGTAGTGGGGCCGAAGTGGGGCCGACGGGGCCGTAGCTGAGTTGTAGCGGGGCCGAAGTGGGGCCGACGGGGCCTTAGTGGGGCCGTAGCGGGGTCGACAGGGCCGTAGCGGGGCTGTAGCGGGGCCGCAACGGGGCCGAAGTGGGGCCGACGGGGCCTAAGCGGGGCTGCAACGGGGCCGACGGGGCCTAAGCGGGGCCAATCGGGGCCGTAGCGGGGCCTAAGCGGGGCTGTAGCGGGGCCGACGGGGCCTAAGCGGGGCCGACTGTGGGCTAAGCGGGGCCGACGGGGCCGTAGCGGGGCTGTAGCGGGGCCGCAACGGGGCCGAAGTGGGGCCGACGGGGCCTAAGCGGGGCCGCAACGGGGCCGACGGGGCCTAAGCGAGGCCAATCGGGGCCGTAGCGGGGCCTAAGCGGGGCTGTAGCGGGGCCGACGGGGCCTAAGCGGGGCCGACGGTGGGCTAAGCGGGGCCGACGGGGCCGTAGCGGGGCTGTAGCGGGGCCGTAACGGGGCCGAAGTGGGGGCCGACGGGGCCTAAGCGGGGCCGCAACGGGGCCGACGGGGCCTAAGCGGGGCTGTAGCGGGGCCGACGGGGCCTAAGCGGGGCCGACGGTGGGCTAAGCGGGGTCGACGGGGCCGTAGCGAGGCCATAGCGAGGCCGACGGTGGGCGGCTCGAGGAGCAGTAAGGGCGGCCAAAAGGGGCCACTAAGGCGACTCAGGGCACTACTCGTGGTAGGAGATAAGCGCGCTACGGGTAGGGAAGGAGAAAAAAAATACGTGGTGGGCCCTAGGCAGTATTCCCACTCGGGAACCTGCTCCATACCATGACGAGAAGTGAGAATGGATGAATGAACTATGAAAGAGTTGGGTACAAGTACTAACCCTAATTGGGTTGTACCCCATATGGGCTACCCCACTACAGCCTTCACAAATGTATAAGCTATAATGTTCTGACAGCTAGTTGTGGAACCAAGACTCAGATTGGAATGGCGAGAATGACCTTGAGCTTTGGTGCACCCACCCTGATAACAACTTCTGCTTCGCTGGTATAATTGGTTGTGCTCTCGTCCTCACAGAAGGTGGGAAAGGCTTTGCTACAAACGCCAGGCGTAGTAAGACTTTTCTGCCCCCTACATCAAAATATTAGGCTTCTCACCATTTCCCTTCGAACATCTGCGAACTACTCTTTGCATCCTTCTGCAGTGATTGGCTTATTTGTCGCCATATTGTTCTCCTAAATGTTCTACTTCAGTTGCTGGTTGGTTGATTGCCAACCTTATATGCCATGTAAGCATATTGCATGTTCGGCGGTGCATTGCATGGTCTCAGCTTTGCCTCGACCTAGTACGATGGTGACGGGCAGCCCCTAAAAAAAAAGAAAGGTGTCATGTGACAGGTTCATGACAGGCTGCCACGTATAACTATCCCATCCGCATGGTTCCCTCCGCAAAGTGGAAATAGAGCAGTCTCTGCGACCTGTCACACGTGTCAGAAACCGAATGACCGTGTACATCCCACAGTACCGCTATAGGGGTACTCGCGTAGCACGTATAGTGCTAGTTTTAGTAACCCATAAAACAAACACAAGCATGAACTTTGCATGATTAGCACACCCAATTCTAAAACGGATAATCCTATAAGTGTGAGATGAGTGCCCTATCAATAAGGGCTCATTAGCACCCGTATAACAATGGCATTTAAATACAAAACAAATGTTGTACATTTCAACAAAGTGATCTGCTCCCGCCTGCAGAGAAGAGCATGAAAAAACATATCAAACCTCTACTAAATGAGATGAATTTCATAGGGGAGTCTGGAATATGTGTGATGAGAGTCCCCTATGAAAATCAGATCATTTGCCCAAGGATAAAAGGGTGATTTCTGTTGCAACCTGATTCCAGGCAATTCTGCACAGAATTCTGCAGACTGCTGCACAACAAGGCTTAAAAACCATATCAAACCTTGGGCAAATGAGGTGAATTTCAGAGGAGAGTCTGGAATATGTGTGTTGAGAGTCCCCCATAAACTTCAGCTCATTTGCCCAAGAATAAGTGGGTGATTTCAATTGCAACCTGATTCAAGGCAATTCTGCATAGAATTCTGCAGACTGCTGCACAACAAGGCTTAAAAACCATATCAAACCTTCGGCAAATGAGATGAATTTCAGAGGAGAGTCTGGAATATGTGTTTTGAGAGTCCCCTTTAAAAGTCAGCTCATTTTCCCAAGGAGAAACGGGTGATTTCAATTGCAACCTGATTCCAGGCAATTCTGCACAGAATTCTGCAGAATGCTGCACTACAAGGCTTAAAAACCATATCAAACCTTGGGCAAATGAGATGAATTTCCGAGGGGAGTCTTAAATATGTGTGGTGAGAGTCCCCTTTAAACATCAGCTCATTTGCTTAAGGATAAGTGGGTGATTTTAGTTGCAACCTGATTCAAGGCAATTCTGCACAGAAATGTGCAGACTGCTGCACAACAAGGCTTAAAAACCATATCAAACCTTGGGCAAATAAAGTGAATTTCCGAGGGGAGTCTGTAATATGTGTGGTGAGATTTCCCTATAAAAATCAGCTCATCAGCCCATGTTGTTCGCCCCTTCGCCGGCGTCAACCGACACCTTCCCACCTCCCTCGCAGGCCGCCTCATCCTGGCCATTTCCCGTCGTAGCCTCCACGCCGACCTCGCCCTTCTCCTTCCCCACATCTGCCGGACTCGTAGCATTTCCCGCGCCGTCATCCTTCTCTTCCTCGTTCCCCTGATCTGCCGACCCCACCGCCTCTTCCGCCGCTCCCGCCTCAACCGTACCCTCTACATACTCCACCACGAGCTCCACCTCTTCATCCCCTCCCTCCCACTTCTCACCATTCTCGTCCTTATTCTCCTCCTCCTCCTCCTCCTCCTCCTCCTCCTCCTCCTCCTCCTCCTCCTCCTCCTCCTCCTCATCCTCCTCCTCCTCGTCCTCGACCTTACGCTTCACTGCCTCGTCTTCCTCCTCCAACTCCGACTCCGACTCCGGCTCAGACGACGACGACGACTTCTCCGTTTCCAACCTTCCTGCACCTGCCTCTACGTCGCCTCCTCCACCGTTTCCACCTTCCCCATGCACCCTCGCGTTCCTGTGAAAGATAAGACCTCAGCAAGACCTCCAGTAGGACCAGTGTAAGGGGAGGGAGCAGGCAGAGGAGAGGAAGGCTCCAACTGTGACTGCGACTGGACAGGCTGTGGACACTCTACCGAAGGAGAAAGACCAAGAACCTGCTGTAGGAGCGGAACGAAGTACGGCCGAGGCCGCGCGGCAGCTCCAGACTCAGCAGGGACAGCACCAGCACCCTCAGCGACAGCACCAGCGCCACCAACACCTCCAGCGGCAGGACCTCCAGCAGCACCAGCAGCAGAACCACCGCCAGGACAGACAGCAGTAGTCTCAGCACCAACACCCTCAGCAGCTCCAACTCCAGTAGGACCCGCAGGCCCAGCAGCTCCGGGACCGGCAGCACCAGCACCCTCGACGGTCGACGAAGCTCCAGCTCCAGCAGCACGCCTCCAGCGGCGAGCAAACCACTCGCGCAGCTCCTGTGGAGAGAGGGGCTCTCGGCGAGACGCAGCAGCAGGAGAAACCCCAGGCTCAGCAGCTCGAGACTCAGCACCCCCAGGCACAGCAGCTCCAGACGTAGCACCCCCAGGCTCAGCAGCTCCAGACTCAGCACCCCCAGGCCCAGTAGCTCCAGCTCCAGTAGGACCCGCAGGCCCAGCAGCTCCGGGACCGGCAGCACCAGCACCCTCAGCAGGCGAAGAAGCTCCAGCTCCAGCAGCACGCCTCCAGCGGCGAGCAAACCACTCGCGCAGCTCCTGTGGAGAGAGCGGCTCCCGCCGAGACGGAAGAACCGGAGAGCCCCCAGGTCCAGCAGGCGCAGGCTCCGGACCTCCAGGCCCAGCACCCCCAGACTCAGCACCCCCCGGCCTCGCACCCCCAGGCTCAGCACCCCCAGCAGCAGCACCCCCAGGCTCAGCACCCGCAGCAGGACCAGACTCAGCAGCAACCTCGACTGGCTCGACTGTGTCTACCTGGGACACACCTGAAGGGGCAGGAACCTGAGGGGGGAGGGGGTCTACCGGGGGGGGAACTGGCACCAGGAAGTCCGGTGGGGGGGGGAGGGAAGGAGTACGGTAGGGGAAGAGGCGGTAGAAGGGGACTGACTCGTCGAACGTGACGTCCTGGGAGGACAGAACACGACGAGAGGAGGGGTGGTAGAACTGCCACCCTGGAGCGTCAGGGGGGAAGCCAAGGAAGACACAGGGAGCAGCACGGGGGGACAGCTTGTCCGCAGACAAGTCGTGGACAAACGCCCGAGATCCCCAGACACGGAACGCAGACGCATCGCCGACCTTCCCCGTCCACAGTAACACTGGGGACATCGCGGGCCGAGAGACCCTGGGGTGAAGGTTGAGCTGATGCGCCGCGTACCGAACCGCAAACGGCCACAGAAAATGGGGGGTAGCCGCATGCATCATGGACGTACGAGCAACATCCATGACCATGCCAATGCGGCGCTCAGCAATCCCATTTTGCTGTGGAGAGTCCGGAAGCGTAAAGGTCTGGCGGATCCCCTGTGCACGACAGTAGTCTCGCAGAAGGCGAGAGGAGAACTCCCCACCTCGGTCAGAGTGCAAACGCAGAACAGGAAAGTCCGAGCCGAAGCTCCTCCTGAGCTGGAGACGAGCCTCGCGGATCCAGGCGATCAGCACCTCAGTGACAGCACACTTGCTGCGCAAGGGGAAGACTGAGGTGTAACGCGAGTAGTCGTCAACCACCAACAGGAAGTAGCGCTCGTGACCCTGCCCACGGACGGGGGCCGGGCCCCACACGTCCATGTGAAGCGTCTGCAGAGGAGCCTCTGTCGGGGGAAACTGGGAGGAGTGAGGAGCAGCCCTGAGGCGCCCCTCGACATTGGGGACACAGGAAGGTCCTGGTCCCGAAGGAAGGGGAGGGAGAGACTGGGGAAGACCAGAGACAAGGACACGGGAAGCCATGCCCCGAAGACGGGGCAAGGAGGGGTGGCCTAGACGGTGGTGCCACAGGAGAGTCTCGTGAGACAGGAGGCGACAAGAACAGGGGGCAGACTCAGGACCAGACCTGGACGCAGCATCAAACACCTAACCCGACGCTGCTACCTGACCGAATGCGGGGACAGGAGGAGACTCAGTGGTCAGGGTGTAGAGGCTCGACCCCGGCCGACGCGAGAACGTGGCCAGGTGCCGGCCTGTGCGTGCGTCCGTGCAGTGGGTCACTCGCTGACTCGCAGGAGTGAACTGGTGAACCCCCGCATCCTGTAGGTCTGCACCACTCACCAAGTTCGTCGAGAACGAGGGGAGGTACAGGCCAGACAGGGTGCCCGAGGGGGCAGCCGGACACGGGAGGACAGTGGAAAAGTGAGCGAGGACAGGACCCCCAGAGGGGTCAGCCAGGGAGACTGCAACCGGCCGACCAAGCGGCGTGAGTGTGGTGCGGTCCCGAAAGAAGGAGCGAGAAGCCCCAGAGTCAAGTGTAAAGGTGAGGGAGGCCGAAGCCAACGCGGTACCTGAGAGCGCAGCCTCACCCGCACCTGAGGAAGCAGACTCACTAGCACCTAGAGCAGCAGCCGCACCTGTACCTGGAGCAGGAGACTCACTAGCACCCAGAGCAGCAGCCTCACCAGTAGCTAGAGCAGCAGGTCCTATACCTGGGTCAGGCGGGACGCACAGGTGACCGGCACGGTCAGCACTAGTAGGCAATGCATACATGGCAGTGAGAATAGCATCATAGTCAAGAGCAAATATATCTACCCTCTGCCTAAGCAACTCCACCCAGTCGGGAAGCTCAGCCTCGTCGCCAAACACGGTACGCCAGGCGTCGCTCAGACGGGCGAAGCAGCGGGACTGTGTATGACTAGGTGTCCCACAAGGCTTACCAGTCCGAGTACCAGTGCGAATCACGTAAGAGCAGCGAACAGCACTGAGAGACCCTCCACTCTGAGCGTACCACTCACGAAGCTGGCGAGGCGTGAGAGACACGCGAGAGGGTCGCGGGAGCTGCATCTGGCCGCCACCACGAGTAGAAGCAGCAGGAGTGGTAGTAGGAGTAGTGCCGCCACCCCTATAGCCCCAACCAGCGTACCACTCACGCAGCTGCTGGGGCGTGAGGGACTCACGCAGGCGTCGCTGGGGCTGCATCTGGCTCCGCAAGTAGAAGCAGGAGCAGGACTAGCAGTAGGAAGGCAGGCAGCCAGGTAAGCCAAAAGGCAGGCAGGCAGGCAAGCAGGCGACGCGCAGTGTGCTAGCAGGGCAAGAGCTCACCAGTGGTGGGAAGAGTAGGCTCGGCGACTCAGCGGCTCGGCAGCTCGGCGGCTCTGCGGCTCGGCAGCTCGGCGGCTCTGCGGCTCGGGCGACGCGGGCGGCTCGGCGGCAAGGCGGCTCGGCAGCAATTGCAGCTCAGCAGCTCGGCGACTCGGCGGCTCGGCGGCAGGGCGGCTCGGCAGCAACTGCAGCTCAGCAGCTCAGCGACCCGGCAGCTCGGCGGCAGGGCGGCTCGGCTGCTGGGCGGCTCGGGTGCAGGGCGGCTCGGCGGTGGGGCGGCTCGGCTGCTGCAGGTGAGCGGCTCGGCTGCTGCAGCGGGAGATGAAGGAGGAGGAGAAGCAGGGGAGGCCACACACCTGCCACCCCTCTGCTGCGGCCCCCGAAGGAGCCGCGACGGGCGACGGGAAAAGGGGGGGGGTGGTGGGGGCCGGTAGGTGCAGCGGCGGGGCCAGCAGGTGCAGTTGCGGGGCCGGTAGAAGGGGACGGCAGGAGCCGTCAGGAGGGGACGGCGGGGCCGTCAGGAGTGGACGGCGAGGCCGGCAGGAAGGGACGGCGGGGCCGTCACGAAGGGACGGCGGGGCCGTCAGGAGGCGACCGGGCCGCGACGGGGCGGCTGGGCCGCCTGAGAGCCGAGGCAGGGGCCGCGTCAGGGCCGGCGGCGGGGCCGTAAGAGAGCCGGCGGCGGGGCCGCAAGAGAGTCGGCGGCGGGGCCGCGTGAGAGCCGGGGCGGGGCCGCGTCAGGGCCGGCGGCGAGGCCGCGAGAGGGCGGGGCCGCGATCAGGAGGCGGCGGCGAGGCCGCGTCAGAGCCGGCGGCGGGGCCTCCTCGAGGCGGGCGGCGGTGCCGCGTTGGAGCCGGCGGCGAGGCCGGCTAAGAGCCGGCGGCGGGGCCGCGTCAGGGCCAGCGGCGGGCCGCGATCAGCGGGCGGCGGGGCCGCGTCAGAGCCGGCGGCGGGGCCGCGTCAGAGCCGGCGGCGGGGCCGCGATCAGCGGGCGGCGGGGCCGCTGCAGAGGAGGCGGCGGAGCCGCTGCAGAGGAGGCGGCGGGGCCGCGTCAAGCAGGGGTGGCGGGGCCGCGTCAGAGGGACAGCGGGGCCGCGAGAGTAATGGCGACCCGAAGGGTCGCGAAAAAGATGCGCGCCTCGAGGCGCGCTTCGGTGGGCCCTAAAAAAAACGGTCCTTAGGAAGGACCCGCTCTATACCATGTGAAAGATAAGAGAACAGGAATGAAATGACTAAGTCAGAGTTGGGTACAAATACAACCCTAGAAAGCTGTACCCCATATGTGCTACCCCACTATAGCCTACAAACATGCATCAGTTATAATACTCTGACAGTTCCCCTGATGCTGGGCGGCAACTGCACCTTGGGGCGCCTTCTGTCCTTCCGCGCCGTCGTCATCAATGGCACTGTTGGCGGGTCCGGCGGCTTGAGAAGTCGGCGCCGCGGTGCGTTTTACGGCAATGACCTTGCCGACGTACTCAACCATGCTGTCGCGCAAAGCCTTCAGCCCCTTCATCCCGACGCTCTCGATGCTCACCCCACTACGACCCTTCTCGCCTGTCAGATGGTCGATCTGCTTCGCTACCCACCCGAACGACGTCGCGTAAAGCACGCCGGCACCGACATGCCCGTCCGACACAGTGCCCGGCACTTTCTGCATACAAGCACGGAACATGATGAGCGGAGCATTCAGAAACGGGCACCCCCCTTACTACTTGAACTTGCAACTCACATCGCAGATAGGGTGGTCGCAGCCGGCCAGCTTGACCTCCACCACTGCTTGTGATGGCGGCGCCCAGTCCCACATCCTACCGGGACGCCCCAGCTCGGCCAGGACAGCCGTGCGGAAGAACCTGAAGCACCGCGGTGGAGGGAGGCGGTCAGCGTGTGATACCCTGTGTCGCCGACTAACAAGCGGGTCATCGACGACAATTCAGCACTTACTTCAGCACGCGGGCGGCCTCGTCGCGGTGATACCCTTTACCGGTCTGCGGGTCAATGTGCCGGATTGAGGTCCTGCACACATGTCCCTCAGCCTTCAAGAGATCTCCAGGGTATAGGATGGCAATGACGCTGCAGTGCATTCCTGGAAGCGGAGCGAGGCTGCACATGCAATTCACGACGGCGTCGATCACAACACCACACGATGTCGCGACAACAAAAAACGACAACTGATCAACGATGAAACAGCTCACATCATTCTTAACGGGATAGCGGCGATGTCAGCGTCGAAAACCGCAACAAAGCATGAATGGTCGGCCTCCTTCATGGCCGATCGAAGCGTGCCGACTCCGATTACCCACAAACGCTGGTTGTCGATCCCAAGTCGGGACCACGCGAACCTGACGGTACGATTGGGCAAGGAGGTTCATACAAGGGCGGTTGAGCAAACGCTGAAAAGTACACAGGGCGACTGCGTGTGGTCGACGCTTCCTAAGGTGGCCGACGTTCCTGGAGGGGGTCTATGCCTAATACCGCGCACATCGACGTAAATCAGAAGGCCACTGTGCCGACATCAACACTAACCCTGTTTAGTCGGCGCCGATGTGAGAGGACGTCCTCGTTATAATATTTTCTCACTATTATATTTTTCCGTTATCCTATTCTCCCTTTTCTCCTCTTTATTTTGGTCTTTATCTCATCTCAATCGGCCTACTATTCTATTTTCTAGAGCCTTCTATTTATTTCTCTTATTTGCTACTTTTTCCACCGACATACCTATTATACGGCACCGACAGCGCCGACAGTAGTGTATACAGTGTAATCTGGGCGTTATCCCAAGTGCCAATAGCCTTGCGTGCTTGTGCGCACTTGTGATTGTAGTATCGGGAAGGGCGTGTTCCCGAAGGTTCATTTTATCTCGTTTATCCTTGAATTTCCGAGTATAATAATGCCTTGTATTCAGTTTTAGTGACAAGTTTCGATTGAGAATTCGATCCTGTGACACTTGGTAATCAGAGCCGTTCTCACTCGACGAATCTCGGCTAAGCAGCGGTCGCGGAAAATATCGCCTCGAAAAACCGCCGGGGGCGACCAATTCGACGCCGATTTCTGGTAAGCACCAGTTCCGCGCTTTTCGAATTAACCCCCTCGCGTGGTTTTTGAACAGGATGGGTTCGCCGGCGACCAACGACGTTACGCAGCAGCTCTTCGCGCAAATCGCCAAGATGGAAGCGGAGATGCGAGCGACGACTGAACGGTCGCGATTGGAGAACGAGCAGCTGCGAAACAAACTGCAGCGCGTTACGCAGCTCCTCTCTATGAGGATCTGGGATCGAGCTCAGAAAAGATGATTCAAATTGAATTGAATTGAATGTCCACCTGGGTACAACACGAGGCTATATATAGGCTCGACACAAGGCCCCGTAACCAGGTGTTACGCGAAGGTTCCGCGGGTCGCGAAGCGTCCCGAACAGATCCTTACCGAATTCGGTAGAAGGCGATTCGGTGGCAACCGAAAAGCCAGAATTCGGTGCACGCAACCTAGCTTGGTGCTATAACTATAATCAAATATAGGAAAGCACCTAGCCTAGGAAATCAAGCAATTCATGCATGCATATGATTATCCTATGCTAGAAATAGCATGATAAAGTAGAGGCAAGCAAGCATAGCTGGCATAAGCCGTCGTACTCTCACACGTCCCCCCCTCAAAAATGGGGGGGTGAGATACACCCTGCTTGACAAGATAGTCCTTGAGAGCACGGCGTGCGTTGCCCATATCAGCTTCTGCAACCCAACTGTCCTCAGTGGGGTCGTATCCCTTCCAGCGTATCAGGAACTCGAGAGTCTTGCCACCGCGGCGCCGATGAGAGAGAACGCGCTCGATCTCGTACTCGGGTTCATCCTGTATGAGAACAGGTGGTGGTTTCGATAGTTGCCGTCCCTGGAACTGTTGGTTGGGGTCCTTGTAGGGCTTCAGTAGCTGGACATGGAAAGCGTTGTGAAGCTTCCATGTATCTGGTAAGCGCAAGCGGAATGTAAATGGTGACACCTGTGCCTCAACGAGAAAAGGACCACAGAAGCGAGGCCGGAGTTTGGATGGGAGGTGAGACAGGTTCAAGTTGTGCGTGTCAAGAAGCACCTGATCTCCGACTGCTACTGAGTGATCACGTCGCTGAAGATCGGCATACTGCTTCTGGGAGTTTTGCATCGTTGTGAGACGTCGCTGAGTCTTCTCCCATAGCTGCTGCATGGTGGTGACGAAGTCATGTGCGGCTTGGACGTATGCCGGTGTGGTTGGCTGCTGTGGTGTGAGTGGTTCCCGTCCGTAACACAGGAAGAAAGGAGTTTTCCCTGTGGCCGCATGTGATGCGTTGTTGTAAGCGAACTCTAGGGTTGGTAACTGTGTGTCCCAGTGGCTGACGTCGTCCTTGCAAGCTGTGCGCAGTAACTGTTCAACCTCTTGATTGAGTCGCTCTGTCTGTCCGTCAGTCTGGGGGTGGCATGCTGAAGACATTGCAAGCTGAGAGTGTCGGCTGTGACTTCAGGTATTTGAGACTGCAGTGGTCAGTATAGAGTGTAGTCTTGGCTCCCTCTAGGTAACACCTCCACGCCTTGAAGGCTATGACTATCGCTAAGGCTTCCTTGTCGTGAATGAGGTAGTTTAGTTCTGCTCCGTGTAGCTTCTTACTGAGGTAGGCGATGGGCTGCAAACCGCGTCCGTGATCCTGCATCAGTACTGCTCCGACTGCTTGGTCACTAGCGTCTGCTTCCACCACGTAGTCCTTGTCTGGATCCGGCAAGATGAGTACTGGCGCTGTAGTCAGTGCTGTCTGTAGCTGCTCCATGGCTTGCTGATGAAGGGTATCCCATTTGTAGGGCGTATCCTTTTTCAGTAGGTCGGTCAGTGGCGCTGCTATCTTAGCGTACTGCGGCACGAACCTGTTGTAGTAGTTGGCGAAGCCTAGGAACTGCTGTAACTCCTTCACGTTCTCTGGTACTTTCCACTTCTTGACGGCTTCGATCTTCCGTGGGTCCACGTGTACGCCCTCGGCATTCACCATGTGCCCGAGAAACTGCACCTTCTTTAGGGCGAAGTCGCTCTTTGACAGCTTCACGTAGAACTTGTTTTTCCGCAGGATCTCGAACACCTTCCGCAGATGCTCCACGTGCTCCTTCATGTTCTTGGAGTAGATGAGAATGTTGTCCAGGTACACCACCACGCACTCGTCCACGCACTCTAAGTTCATCTCCGCCTGAAACGTTGCTGGTGCGTTGCAGAGTCCGAACGGCATCACCAAGTATTCGTAGGAGCCGTATCTGGTACGGAACGCTATCTTGTGGACGGAGTTGTCCGCCATCTTGATCTGCCAGTAGCCCGATCGTAGGTCCAGTTTCGAAAATACTGTTGCTCCACGTAGTTGATCGAGTAGGTCGTCTATGCGCGGTATGGGATATTTGTTTTTGACTGTCTGTTTGTTCAATGCGCGGTAGTCGATGCACATCCGTAGACTGCCGTCTGGTTTTGGAGTGAAGAGAACTGGTGCGCCGTAGGGAGAGGTGGATGGGCGGATCAGTTGTCTGTCCAGTAGATACTCTATCTGTTTTTTCATGTCTGTCAGTTCAGTCGGACTCAGTCGGTATGGTGCACGTGAGACGGGTTTCGCACCTGGTTCCTCCACAATCTCGTGCTCGTGGGTGCGTGCTGGAGGTACGCCTGCAGGTAGGTCGTCGGGCATTATATCCTTGTACTGCTCCAAGACCTCTTTCACTGCTGCAGGTAGCTCGGAACTCGGCTTCTCCTCCTCTGCTGGTGCCATAACCAGTGCTAGGTAACCCGTGTTACTCTTGTTCACCGTCTGTTCGAACCGTGCCAGTGTCGTTTCAGGTACGTCCCCTGTATCCGTCCAGCTTCGCATTGCTATCCGCTTCCCATTGTTGTAGATGCACACCTTGTTGTTGACCCAATCGATCTCGGGGTTGAACCGCTTCAGGAAATCTCGCCCCAAGATAAAATCTAATCCTTTGATGTTGGTGACTGGTAACTTCGGCTTCCACCTCAACGCACCTATATGCAGTTGCAGTGATGCTTCGCCGTGGATAGGAAGCTTCGTACCGTCCACCATGGTTGCTGAAAACTGGGTCTCTTCCGCCTTCTCTCCAATTTTCTCCAATGCTCCGCGGTCACACACCGAGTGAGATGCACCGCTGTCCACCAGTGCCTGGAGACGTCGCCCATTGCATAACACCTCGAGGAGTAGTGGTTTCTGCTGTGCTGAGTAGCCAAAGAGGGTCTTGTTAATAGGATCATAGGGTACATCAAACTTAATACCTTCCCTTTTTCCTATACCTGAATCAGCGCTTTCCAACTTCACCTGGGCGGTAGGAGGATTTTTCCGAGGCTTGTATAATTTTTCCTGAGCCTGGATGTCTCCTCTAAGCCTTGGCAGCTGTGTAGGCTTCACCTGTGGGCGACGGGGAGCCTTAACACTGTGCTGCGGGGAGAGAATATTTATTCCACGGAACGCACGACCCTTCTCTACGCTCCGTAGTATTTTGCCCAACTTCTCAGGTACCTGAATAATTTCTAAAGGCTTTTTCTTGGCCTCTAGACCTCCCCTGAATTTTTTGAAGGCTTGTAAACCAAGAGAAGCAATATTCTTCGTTAGAGCATCTTTATAGGATACTTTTAACGAATTCTTACTTTCGTGGGTGTTCGGCAAGAGTTCCCCGGTC